TCTGACATTAATTAGGGCACATCACTTTTTTTTTTTTTTATGTTCATACACTTTTTCTTATTTAATATTTAATAAAAGTTTAAAACAAGTCTTGTTTTATTTCCTTAGACACTTTATTTCCCTAATACATGCTAAATATGTCTGATATAGGCCATGTACATCGTGCTGGTTCAGTTGATCAGCTAGTTTTCACACCCAAACTCGCTGCTATCTTAAAGCCCGCTCATTGGAATATCCCGGATATAGTCATAATTCCATCCTGGACCGAGGGAATGATAATAAACGGACAGTGCTACGTTGTGAAATGCTAGTATTGTGGTCCAGGCTCTAAAAAGTTTGAGTTGTGACAACTTCTGACAACTAATGAAATTATGTTCAACCAGCAAAAGATATTTGTAATTACCAGTTTTAACCATCTCAAAATTGCATTCAAGCGTGCTTAAGCTGTTGTAAATTCTTTAAATTGTGTGCGATCTTTCTCAAGAGTATTTTTTTTTTTAGTGTTTGGGAGCTCATATAGTGCAGACAGAGGGATTTTCCACAACCTGGAAACCCAAAAGTTCTTTAATTACCCATCTGAGCTGTCTGACCTTGTCTAGGCATGTTAAGAGAGGAGAAGGGAACTTAAAATCCTGATAGCAAGTGGAGGAAAAATTAAGTTATCAAGTCGTTTTCAATTAGTTACCTCAACTTGTATGTAAGTCAGCTAAAGCAGAAATTTGAGTTTAAATTGTAGAGTATTATGTTGACGCAACTACCAATATTAATATGTTGACTTAACCCTTTAAAATAATCTTTGCTACTATAATCATCTATATTCATCTTGCAGCTCTGCATTTAATGATCCGTTACAGACACTGAAGTCATGTCCTTTGTATGAAGCTCCTCTGTCCCTACATCCTTAACCCTATTCAGGACTTTCATGTTTTATTAGTTATGAAGCAACATTACTATATCTGTGTAATCAATAATAATGACCAAGTGGTGCAGTAAATCTGTACACTGAGTTTAATGGAAAAATGAAGGATGTGAGTGATGTTTGTGTGAAGAAAAGGAGCAAAGCAGGACGTATTTCTCTGTCTCATTTACCACACAGCTATATACCAGTATAATACTGGTATATAATGTTAATATCTCTATTTAAATGTGTTTTCTTGCTGAAAGCTTCCTCCTGAGGTGCAAACAAAAAACAAAAAGTAAATAAAAAATGAATGTGATGATTAACACCTCTTGCTTATTTAGAAGTTATTTATACTTTGCCTATATATATATGTATAGCTGTACAAATCATTTGGAATTTGACAAACTAAAAATAAAGCTGCAGTTGCAGTTGTGACCAATGGGATTAAATTGATCAAACAAGGAATATCAGTTCATGCTTAATTATGTAATAACTTTTTGCACAGGTCATTGCATTTCTTGCTTTTCAGATGATCAGACACTAAATTCTGTGTGTCCTGTCCAGGTTTGGCAGATCCCAGATCACGCACTGACCCGTCCTCTGTCCGACCCAGTTGTTGTCCTGGAGGGTCACTCCAAACGTGTCGGCATCGTCACCTGGCACCCCACCGCACGCAACATACTCCTCACTGCGGGTACAAACACACACACAAACACACACACACAAGTTTCTTATTGGAAACTTATCAGTGATGTGAAGTAAGAACAACATCTATCTATCTATCTATCTATCTATCTATCTATCTATCTATCTATCTATCTATCTATCTATCTATCTATCTATCTATCTATCTATCTATCTATCTATC